ACTTGACTTGCACATGGCCGAGGAGGTTCTTGCGCGCCAACGCCATCCTAGCGTTGAATTCCCACAGGAAGTAGTTGTCGTCTTGCAGGACATCGATCGGGCTGAGCGATTTTGGGCTCATAAACTTAAACAATGTATGTCAATCTAAATCTCAACTTGTTTTCGCGATGGTAAAATGGAAAGTGAGCTACAACATCGTACGCTACTTAGTTGTCTGCTTCGAACTTCTGGCATCTAGAACCCTGACAAAATTGATCATTTGTTTGTGAACGTTCGATACTGCAACACGTACATGCACAAGTTGCCTTTGTGTGTTATACACAATCTGCGACGTGATACAGTCTTGACAATAACAATCAGTCTTTTTCAATCTATATGTCTAAGCTTGCGATAGTGTATCTCTAGATATCGTTAGTCGCAAAATCTTCACTACGAGAGGTCGAACCCGCTAGTATACCACGTCAAACTGAATGCACTTAACCCAGTCTCGCTTCTGGTACTTTCTGTGCCATATGTGCCGCGTCACTTGCGGTACACATTGTTTTCCAGCAAGTTGTCCAGCCCTTTGCTGTTGATGAAAACACAGTCCTCAACTTTGTAGTCATCCATCGGGTTTCGAAAATTTGTCGACAGTTCATCACTTTTGAGATCCAGTCACCGTATGGCCAAAGGGAAGGCTACAGCTGGTACGAAACTGACAATAAGTCATTATCCACTATCTTTATTTCTTTATCAATTAGTTAATCTTAATCGAACGAATACAAACGTCGGATTTTCCTGGCTTAGACCTTTCCCAGCTTCAACAGACGAAGCTATGGAGCTTGGCAATCCTGCAACGGCCGAGCCGTTTGCAAGCTTTCTGCCATCCAAATCGAATTCATATGTCTGCGAGGGTAATATACACCTCGTAGCAGTAAGTGGCGCAAGCGTCCCCCGCATACCACTCACAATACCAAAACCCATTTTTTAAGGCCTAACGGTTGTGCACGTTTAAAGGTTGAGCAGTTAATGCTGTATGGGGCTATGGGGCATATCGGAATGTTGGTAATTGATTACTAACGCAAGTTGGAGTGATTGCTTGTTTCTGTCTGGGTAAAGATGGGACAGGATCCCAGCTGGTATGATAGAAGAAAGAAACATTAGATTGCAAAAAGTTTGGCAAAATTTTATTGACACGCAAGCGAAGGAATACTTACATGACAATTAATGAAGACCTCCACAGAGTACATAGGAAAACGCAATACGTCTCCTTGTACAATTCTTAATTTCCCTTTGTTGAGACTATTGTGT